CGAAGCAAGCCGATGTACGGCTGATTTCAGCCGATGTACGGCTGAAATTAGCCGTACCAGCCTGAAGTGAATAGCCGAACAGTGTTCGGCTCACTTCACTTCAGATCGGTCATTCACTCGGCTGCCCTCGGCAGCTTCGTGAATAGACCCCTATATCTCAAAGAAGAAACATATCATCCCCAGATCTTAAAGGAGAACCATATCATTCCCATTTCTCTAAGGAGAACCATATCATCCCCATTTCTCTAAGGAGAAACATATCACCACCTTATCTCAAAGGAGAAACATATCACCCCCCTTATTTTTAAAGGAGAAACATATCACCCCCATATCTCAAAGGAGAAACATATCATCCCCTTATCTCAAAGGAGAAACATATCACCCCCCTTATCTCAAAGGAGAAACATATCACCCCCTTATCTCAAAGGAGAAACATATTACCCCTATCTCAAAGGAGAAACATATCATCCCTATCTCAAAGGAGAAACATATCACCCCCATATCTCAAAGGAGAAACATATCATCCTCTTATCTCAAAAGAGAAACATATCACCCCCTTATCTCAAAGGAGAAACATACTATTGGCTATCTCAAAGGAGAAACATATCACCCCCATATCTCACAGGAGAAACATATCACCCCCATATCTCAAAGGAGAAACATATCACCCCCTTATCTCAAAGGAGAAACATATCACCCGCTTATATCAAAGGAGAAACATATCATCCCCTTATCTAAAAGGAGAAACATATCACCCCCTTATCTCAAAGGAGAAACATACTATTGGCTATCTCAAAGGAGAAACATATCACCCCCATATCTCACAGGAGAAACATATCCCCCCTATCTCAAAGGAGAAACATATCACCATATCTCAAAGCAGAAACATATCACCATATCTCGAAGGTGGAAACATATCACCCCCATATCTCAAAGGAGAAACATATCACCCCTATCTCAAAGGAGAAACATATCACCCCCATATCTCAAAGGAGAAACATATCACCCCCTTATCTCAAAGGAGAAACATATCACCCGCTTATATCAAAGGAGAAACATATCATCCCCTTATCTAAAAGGAGAAACATATCACCCCCTTATCTCAAAGGAGAAACATATCATCCCCTTATCTCAAAGGAGAAACATATCACCATATCTCAAAGGAGAAACATATCACCCCCATATCTCAAAGGAGAAACATTTCACCCCCATATCTCAAAGGAGAAACATATCCCCCCTATCTCAAAGGAGAAACATATCACCCCCATATCTCAAAGGAGAAACATTTCACCCCCATATCTCAAAGGAGAAACATATCCCCCCTATCTCAAAGGAGAAACATATCACCCCCATATCTCAAAGGAGAAACATTTCACCCCCATATCTCAAAGGAGAAACATATCCCCCCTATCTCAAAGGAGAAACATATCACCCCCATATCTCAAAGGAGAAACATTTCACCCCCATATCTCAAAGGAGAACCATATCACCCCTATCTCAAAGCAGAAACATATCACCATATCTCAAAGGTGGAAACATATCACCCCCATATCTCAAAGGAGAAACATTTCACCCCCATATCTCAAAGGAGAAACATATCACCCCCATATCTCAAAGGAGAAAATATCATCCCCCCTTATGTCAAATGAGACCCAGGGCACTCAGTAGAACAGCCTTTCTCAATCTGGGTGCCTGCTGGCTAATTTTCTGGCCTGCCCTCCTGCCCTCCACCATGCTGCCGCATCGGCGCCTCCTGATGAAGTGGTGGGTGGACTGAGGACTTTGTTGTAAAGAGGGAAATCTGATGTAAAAGGGGTTCCTGATTTAAAGGGGGGGGGGGGGGCTTTGATGTAAAGGGGAAACCCCTACCATTTTTAGTTTTTGCTGGGTTTGCCCCTTTAAAACCATTACATTTTAGACTAGGGAGCTTTCGAGATAAAGGGTGACGTGGCTGAAAAACAAAGTTGCTAAACGCTGCAGTAGAATACCTAAGGGAAATGCCCTGGGTACCAGATTCTAGCAATACCCCTGATTCTACAAGACCAAGGGACCCCAACTTCTTCATATGGCAGGATCAAATTCCCATCCTGCAATAAATGACATCTGGGGGACAGCAAGGGTGAATGATTGAATGAAAATAAGTCAAATCCTAAATGTAAACAGCAGTGAGAACTACACATGGCTTTAGGAAGCAATATTCAGGTTTGCAACTCCTCCTCTTGCTCTTGTGCATGTGTGTGTGTGTGTATGTGCTTGTCTCTCTGGCTCTCAGTCTGTAGCAGCAGCCTCAGCCGCAGCATCCCTTCACTTCACACAGGAGGTTTGGTCTATATAAACCATTCAGCAACAGAACCTGCCTCTCCTCCTCCATGCAGACACACCAGGACTTGGCTACAGCATCCTCTCTCTACCCAGGAACCACAACCAGGGGGTGGGGGGTATATTGGGGGGAAAAGAAGAGGGGGTGAAGCACCAAAACTGAAAGCAAAACGAAGACAGCTTACCATGAGATTGCAATACACCTCGTCCTCTTCCTCTAGCACGTCCCTGGCTGCCGGTCTCGCACCTTGCTTGCTGCCCGGTCCGGGCTCCGGCTTTGCAGGTGGCGGCTGCTCCTGTTGCTGGGGCTGCTGTTACGGAGCCCTACTGTTTTTCCTGTGGACTTCTGCTGCTGTGACGGCTTCCTCGTCATCCTCGTCGTCTTCTTCTGCTGGAGGTGCGGGAGGTGCTGCAGTGACCGGTGCTCCTGGTAGTGCTGGTGCCTCTGGTGCTGCAGCATCTACTCATTCCCCGGCTCCTCCTCTCCCTGCTGCAGTGGTGGCTGGCGGGGCGCTTGTGGCTGCCGTTGCAGCAGGTGCCGGCGGTGGCGGAGGAGTCGGGCTCTCGCCGGCTACGGGTGGAGCTGTCTGCTATTCGTCCCCCAGTGTGGGCTCGGTGCAGGAGCTGGCTCAGCGTTCCCGGGTGGTCATAGAGGGCAAAGTGCAGCAGAGCCCTGGAGCGGAGGGACGCAAGAGGAAGGCACCTGAAGAAGGGGACTTGGTCACTCCCGGGAGGAGAAGACCTGGCCAGCAGCTGGATGGCTACACGGACCAGCAACAGACAGCGTCAGCGGTGAGCTCCGCATTCCAACAAGGGCTACCGACTGTTGGCAACTGGATAGCTGCTTCTGCGGCCAGCCTCACCACCATCGCCACCATCGCCATCAACGGATCCCCTGACTTGCCCTCCACCACCCCACTTGGCCCCCTGCAGATCTACCTGGTGAAGGTGCATCAGGTCTGGGCAGTGAAGTCTGCGGGCTTGGACAAGGACTCTTTGATCACCGTGCTGGGGGATTTCGGCTCGAGCTGTCTAAAGCTGAAGGAAGACAGCAGGTACATCTTCTTCATGGATCCGACCAACAGTAGCTCAATCTTCAGGGCTTCCTTCCCACCCTTGGAGACTGGCAGGAACCTGAAAAAAGATGTTGGCAGGGTCCTATGCAGAGGTTGTGGTAAGTCCCCGCATCCTGACCATCTCCTGGTCTTCACCACTGTGCTTCTTGGATACCTCAAGTGTTTATCACAATGCTGATTGAGATGTAACATTATCAAAGTGAGATAAAAGTTCATGTGTGTGTGCAATTTGGAAGCCTATGTATGCAGTGCTGCTTTTGTGCACTTTAACTTGAACTAGGTGATGGAACTGTTGGCTATAGGCTTCAGTTGTTGACTGGTGATGCTGAAGTTGGAAAATGGGCAATGTTTGAGTTTAAAGTGCTTTTTGTCAACCTAGTTATGGTAGATACTCAAGTGTTTACTTTTGCAAAGGATATGTCATGGCACAAAGTCTTTTAGAAGCTCTCTAGAAGGATGCACAAGATACAGAAGTGTAGCAGAAAGCTGAAGGCCTTTTTTGTGACTGCATATTATCTGTAGACCTGTTCCTTTTCTCAGAACCCATCAGTTGTGATGACATTTTTGGTGATCTTGGCATTTTTGTTTAACAGTTTTTGGTATAGTTGCATACATTTAAGAAGGTTTTATAGTTTTGGCAGATACCTTATAACCTGTTATCATGTATAAACTCATGAATGTGATTCTGAGACTTGAATATATTTGCAAGATTTCTCAGAACCCATCAGTTGCGATGACATTTGTGGTGATCTTGCCATTTGTTTTAACAGTTTTTGGTATAATAGCATACTTCTAAGAAGGCTTTATAGTTTTGACAGATACCATATAACCTGTTATCATCTATAAACTCATAAATGTGATTCTGATACTTGAACATATTTGCAAGATTTCTCAAAACCAATCAGTTGTGATGACATTTTTAGTGATCTTGGCATTTGTTTTTACCGTTTTTGGTATAGTTGCATACTTCTAAGAAGGTTTTATAGTTTTGACAGGTACCATATAACCTGTTATCATCTATAAACTCAGGAATGTGATTTTGAGACCTAAATATGCAGCATTTGCAAGATTTCTCAAAACTGATTAGTTCTCATGTTCTTTGCAATTTTTTCAGTTCTAGGTATAGTTTCATACTTCTAACAAAGCTTTATAGTTTTGACAAATACCATATAACCTGTTATCATCTATAAACTCCTGAATGCTATATAAATACCTGTAATAAATAAATAATACATGTGGTTTTGAGAATTAGTTATATTTTGCAAGCTTTTCCCCAGAACTGATCAGTTGTGATGACATTTTTTGCCAATCTTGGTTAATTGTTTTTAGTTTTAGGTATAGTTGCATACTTCTAACAAGCTTTTCTAGTTTTGGCAGATACCATATAACCTGTTATCATCTGTAAACTCATGAATGTGATTTTGAGAACAGAATACATTTGCCAGATTTCTCAGAACTGATCAGTTGTCATGGCATTTTTGGCAATCTTTGCAATTTTTTTTACAATCTCAGATATAGTTGCGTACTTCTAACAAGGCTTCATAGTTTTGGCAGATACAATATAACCTGTTATTATCTATAAACTCCTGAATGCTATATAAATGCCTGCCATAAATAATAAATAAATGAATGTGGTTTTGAAAATTGTTTATATTTTGCAAGCTTTTCTCAGAACTGATCAGTTGTAATGACATTTTTGGCAATCTTTTTTTTACAATTTTAGGCATAGTTTCATACTTCTAACAAGGCTTTATAGTTTTAGCAGAGACCATGTAACCGGTTTTCATCTGTAAACTTACAAATGTGGTTTTGAGAATTGACAATATTTTGCAAGCAGTGTTATATGTGTTTCTAATTGTACAGCTCAACTTGTCTTTCTGCTTTTTGAGCATAATAAGAAACAATTTTTTTTTTGCATTTTCCTGCTGTTGGTGGTATAATGTGACAGTCAACAGTCAGGTGTCATTTTTCTATCTTGTGATGAATAAGGGGTACCTTGCTGTAAGGCAATTACAGCTACTATAAAGACCAAAAATGTGAATTCCAGGTTTAAAATGCGGTGATATTGACTGTATGAAATTTCAGCTTTGAGCTTGCACCTGCATTGGCCAATAAGCTGGCGGGAGCTGTTCAGCTTATGTGGTGCTGAAGTGTCGATATGAGTTGGGAATCCCCAGCTCTGGCTGATGGAAAATACTCTCCTGGGACCTTTTTTAATGGCTAACTTAAAAGCTAACAATGCCATGTAGAAGCTAACAATGCCATGTAGTAGATGCAGTTTTTATATGGCGGAGTATGTTGTGTGCTTTGTTTTACTGACCTGTGAAATACAGGTGCACAGTACAGCAAAAGACCATATGAATTGATTGCAGTTGTAGGAGCTTTACAGCACCTTGCTCAGAATATAGTATGTGTCGTTGATGCCTGGTAATGCAATACACATCCATACAGAAAATAAACTCCAACTGTGTTTGATTTTAAATTAATAGTATTCGAGACATACCATGACTCTGATATTTAAATGAACAGACATGATTCAGCAGTTGTTTGCATTGGAATTCTCCATGTTTGGGTACATTTCCATACAAAATCAAGCTTGACTATATTATGGAAATAGCTATGCTGTTGGTTTGTCATTCAGCGACATCTGATTTCTGCAGTGGAGATATTTGGTTGCTGAAATCTCATTGCTTACATTGTGCTCTTGGTGTGGTAAGCAAAAGTTTTATTATATTTCTTAGTGACTTTGCAGATGTCTTTTGGCAAAATGCATGTGTACCTTAAACGGTGTCATATAAGGGCTTGATCTAGGGTATAATAAAGATGTGTGTGTTTGTAGAGGTGGGCAGTTGCTGAAGGTAAAGGGGACCCTGAGCACATAAATATACGAGGCCTAAGCATCAGAGGCAACTCCATGTTTACCTGCTCTGGGTCATATAATATGTGTACACCATAAATTATATTGTATTTGCCATTTTAGTATTCAGTAGTAATTTTAGGGTGATTTAGGAACAAAATGTAGCCTCCTTATTAAAAACAAACGGACCAAGGGCTAGAGACGATAGGAGGGTCCTTTTTATGCTATTTACACTAGAGCCCTGTAGTTTTGTAATGACGTGTTAGAGGTTGATGTTCTTTAGCTGTTGTGCAAATGCTGTATATGGGATTATTAACTTTAATTCCAAATAAGAAGAAATAATTTAAATGGTTTTGAATAAAGTTTCATACCACATAACATATTTTTTTTCTTTCCTGAAAGAAGTTTGTATTTTAGTTTTTTGTACATAATATGTAGATATTTAAATGGTAATACATTCAAAACATTTCCATGAATGTACTATGCATGGTGGAGCCAGTGTTAGGTGATGTTGTGATCTGTATAGTTTGTTTAGCCTATAGTCTTTGACATTGTCAGGCAAGAAGGGACTTGATAGTTATATTTCAGATAAGATTTATAATACTACTACCACTACTACTACTACTACTAATAATAATAATAACAATAATAATAATAATAATAATAATAGTAATGATAGGAACTACAAGGAATTGTTTAATGCAGCTGTGCATGTTTATATATTTACAGAGTTTATTAAAGGGCCTTTAACTATTACTTTAGTGTTTTATAGCACTGCCGGAATAGTCAGTGAGAGGTATATAGGGGAGGTAAGAAAACATTTCACTCCACTGTCTGCTTTAGTAGTCTCCATTCCATATGTGTACTAGTACCCTGCAAACAGTATGACATGTAGCTTTCTTTCAGTTATGTTATTTCCAAGCTTTGAGACTTTCAGAGGTTAACTTCTCAATCTCTAAGGGAGAGGTATTTTACCTGGACATAGATGCTGGTGAGGAAATACCCTGAGACTAGCGTTGAAGGAATAGGAGCGTTTGCTCTGTGCATGTGATGCGACTACCAAAAGAGGTTTCTTTTTAAAATATTTTTCTATAAACATTTCTAGTTAGTTTGCCAAGTGTGTATATTTATGGCTGTGGAGGATGAGAGAACAAAACAAGATAACACCCTTGGTCCCAGGTTATGTTCTTTTAGAACAACAATGATCTCTCGAAAAAAATCCAGCATAGTCATTCCCTATTTTCTCATCTGGCATGTCTATGGGAGGCTTATTGAACATGAAAGAATGGGGATTGTGGTCCAAATTTTCCAGGTGAAGCAATAATCATCTTGTGTCTATGGGAACCTTAATGAACAAATTTGTCTTTGACAGCTTCAATAACCCTATAAATATAAAAGCATACTAACATAGGCATAGTTGAAAAAAGCAAAAAGTCAATTACATCTATCTGAATACACAAAACTCTACACTATTTTTTTCCAGCAAATTTCCATACATTTAGAGCTTTTTTCAGCTGTACATAAACAACTGTAATGATTCATCAGTCTATACAGCAATAGAAATGCTTGTGTGTTTTTATTATCACTGCAAATAGTTAACTAAATTTACCCTAAGGAGAACTATGGGAAAAAACACTGACCCCATAGTTCTCCTTTAATGAATACAGGCTTTTTATTCATTAATATAAAGCCTGCCGTGATTGGCTCAGCACCGAGCCAATCACAGCAGGCTTTGTATTAATGAATACAGGCTTTGTATTCATTAATACAAAGCCTGCCGTGATTGGCTCAGCGCGGTATACTGTATGCAGCCGAACCTACATACAGTATACCCGGCGTATAAGACAACCCCTGATTTTCGGGGAATGTTTTAAGGTCTCAAAACCCGTCATATACGCCGGCAAATACGGTATTGCTTATTGACCTGAAGTTGTAATAATAAATAACAATATTTGTTTTTAGAATATATAAACCATTATTTATGAGTGGCATGAAGTTGGTATGCCATATACAATTTTGTTTTTAGAATATGCAAAACAATAGTGAGTGGCATGAAGTTGGTATGCCATATACCATTTTGTTTCTAGTAGGGATGCACAGGTACGTTTTGAGTACCAGTGCAGATACTTGGCATTTTCATGAGAACTACCAGGGTTGCAGAGGGTGCAGCTGGGACCTGGCTCTGGCGCTCCACCACTGTCCTGAAATCATTAGTCTGTATTGTTTTAGAAAAACTGTCAC